AGGTATATCGAGTTTCTTGTTTAAAGTGAGTCTACTCGTTTTTGTGTGAGTTTCTCTGGATTTGCTCTCAACTAAACCCACTTTTTGTCCCTTTCCTTTTCTTTTTACTGTCTTTAATGTCCCAGATCTGTCTTTGACTCTGCATGATCTCCAATTGTCTATTTATTTATTTATTTACCTGTTTATTTTTACACACACAGACTTGCATTATCCTGCCAAAATTAACATTTCATGGGCGATGCCAAGGTTTGTCAACTGGATCTCATCAAAGTTTTACTCTTAATCATGGAAGCAGAGCCGGAGTAAGACCCCCAACCCCGTCTCCAGGTGAGAAAAAGCGAGATTCCCATCAGGTAAGAGCTGCCGCTCGGCCATTTTAATATCCCAAGACACAAAAACAATCATGCAGAGATAAATGTTCCTGTTAGAATCTGATACCAAAGTTCCCAGAGCTCTGAGGAAGGATGTATGTTTGTGTTTTCTTAAGTGCTGTTATAAATAAATGTATGACACCTTCACAAAGCCAAAGCACAACGACACCCAACACAGCTGTTTTCCCACCAAAGGCCTGTCTCAAAATTTCAAAAATGGAAAGAAATGGCATCAAGTAAACTAAAAACATATGGAGCACAGCTTAGATGAACGTTTCTGTCCTCCTCTCAGCAATTCTCCTTAAAAATGCAAACACTGAAATTGTCCTCCAAGCTAAGAGTAGGACAGTCTGACAGGTTATCATCTGCAAAGCAGGAATCCATGATGAGATGTAGGTGCATCAGTGCATGTGGCATGAGTAATCTGCCCCTCCCGGAGGGCACCATTAATGCTGATGATACACACAGGTCTGGTAGCAAGACACAACCATCAAGATCATGGTTTTTATTCCAGCTTCTCCACTTTTAAATACCACAATAACACAAGTCTGTTGTAAAGGCTGCCCTTTCCCGAAACCCCAACCGTTGCTTTTGTAGGTGCACACTTGGGACCAATGGAGAACATTTTGTACATCTTCTTTTTCTAAAAGCTGACCATTACTTCAGAGAAGAAGAAAGGGGAAAATATATTTTAGAGTGTTGGTCATCTTGCATAAAAAGGAGGAAATACAGACCATTTCTTGGTCTTTTTAGACCAGAGAGGATAAATTTGCTTCAGTATTGATCCACACAGACACCGCACATGGATTCATCCAACACAGACACTATTCAAAGCTAAATTAGTATAAATAAAGGATTTCCAGGGGGGCTTGAGATAGTTCCAGAGGACTTAAAGTCTCACAAAAACAAGCCGAATGACTCCCCTGAGTCACCAACAAGACATCCGATTTGTGTCTTTATGAGATCATTTCTTTTTTCAGTGAACTTTAGAACTGCTTTTAAAAATGTGACGCTCCTACAGTAAAAGCATTATAATGTGAGGATAAGGGGGAAATACGCAGAGCCCATTCTGAACTGCTCGGATTTATATTTTCAGACGCTAAATAGATCCACTTTTTCTGCATTTCATGTAGACGTTGAAACCCGAATGTTTGCTCTAAAGCACAGACGCAGTGAAGGGGGTATTTCCATTAAATGGCACTTTGCTCTTCTGCTAACTGGATTTATCTTTGTACCTCCGTTGGAGGTACAAATCCTTTAGGTATTTAAAGATGCTTCCCTTTAACCAGCTGAAAGGAAGCCTGTCTGAACACATGCGCTCTCAGCGGAGGCTTAAAAGCAGAGCCAGTTCTCTTCCTCTGGACGCTGCCTGCTTTTGTTTGTTTACTGATTCTGAACAAACTATCTCAATGCATGCTTCATCAGTTTGTCCTCAATGTTTTTTTTACCCTCCTTTTGGGCCAAACCAACGTTAAAATCCAGGATTTCTGGGTTATTAATCTTTTCTTCATCACGGCGAGCTGGCAAAACAACCCAAAACACTGAGACTCAGCTGCTCCCAAAAGGTTTAGCTCTGAATAACGCTGTTTTGCTGGCTGCATGTAGGAAATAATGAGGGGGGAGAAACACAGGCGGCTCGTGGAGCTAAACTGTAATGTAACAGATAACAGGAGGAGCTGTGACGGTGATGTCAGCCCTCATGTCGGGGCTGAAACCTGCGTGTGGATCGGTGAGAAACCCCCCGGCTGCAGCCACACCCAGCTCTCACAGCCAGCCATCCATGAACACAAACTCCATTGATTCCAACTAAAACACTCTTAGAACGGAGCTGGAACAAAAAGCCCCACACCAGCTTATCGTGGTTAGATTAGGGGCCTGGGAGGGGAAGGTCCCCCTCCAGGAGCTGTGATTGCACCTCCATCTTTCTGCTGTGGTGCAATCAGAGGAAGGGTTTAGCTTCCCCTTTCCCCTAGAACCAGCGTTTCCCATTCACTCTGGACACCTGAACGCCACCCGGCTCTCGTCCCTTATCTGAGTTGGCGTCGTGTCGTTCCTCAGCCTTTTCTGTTCAGGAAACATTCGCATTTGGAGTAAGATGGCCCCCAGTGGTGAGTGGAAACATGAATAAAACATGTGGTCACTGAGAAGTCAGTTTTCTGCTCTCTCATGATACTTTTTCCAGATTATTCAGCAGATTCTAACTCTGCTGTTCCATTAAAACTTCAATAAAATCACATTTCTGCTATTTTTTTATCCATTTTACAGGATATATCAACGTTTTACATTTCAAAATTATGCATATGTTCAATTATTTTAGCTGTTCTTGCCATTTTTAAACTAAAGTCCATCATGATGTTGAATTTTCTCCATGTAATCAAACAACATCAAACTTATAGGCTGAGTTTTATGTAGTTTTCCCCTGGATGAATCCACAAACTCTGTGATTTCAGGAGATCCAGAGGTGCTCCCACAGCTGGTTGGCCTTTGAGTCCAACACTCAAAGTGTAAACTGTCAAAAACCAAGATGGAAACGGGTTGCTGTCTAAACTGGATGCTTCTCAGAGGTAAGACCCACAAACTGCTCCAGACTTTATCATGGGATCTGTGTAAAAAGCAGCTTCTTTATTTAATCAGATGATCTTTTAAGACTCATTTCTGTTTTAACATTTGAGAGTACAGATTCGGGGAAGTGGCCTGAAATGGATACTTTTCAGGCAGGAATGCACCAAACTGGGTTTTAATGGTTCGGTCCTCTCTGCAGAGGCTTGTCAGGTTTTATTTTTCCTACTTTTTGACCTCTCGCTACTGCGTGGAGCTGAATTATTGCCCTTCTCTGCTGCTGGATTTCTCCTTTCTCGGCTATCTGACAGCAGCTGCTGCTCTTCTGCTGATTGGTGCTCTGGAAATGTGCTCCTTAGCAGGTTTTTTCTCCAGCCGGAGCGATCTGATTGTGTGTCACAGCTCAGAGAAACAACACGGCTAGAAACGGGGCCTGTTTGATTGGCTCTGGGATGTATTAACCAGCACACGGGAGGTTCTGGGATACGGCCCTTTTTGCCAGTTTTTCCCGGCAAACTGCTCAGATTACTGATGACAGCTGACGGGAAAAAGAACCTGTTTTTATCCTGCTGTCAGCTAATCAGCTGGAGGGCCAGAAAAGCTTGAGAACTGAATTGTGCATCAATGATATGTCAAAATGGCAGAAAGCCCCGCTCACTAAGGAAGAAACCCCTAATAGGTTGTTTTAGTCCCAGAAACCAGGGACAAAGATTAAAAATGCCAAGGCGTCTCAACTGAGGTGATACAGCCTCCTAAAGAGAGGCCATGTTAGGGCTGAGGAGGAGGAAGAGGAAGAAGAAGAAGAGGAAGAGGAGGATGAGGATCAGGAGGGGGCGTCTCCCTCTCAGCTTTCAGCACCCTGGACAGCGCCCCCGACGCTTTTTCTCCCCCCTGAAAGTTTTCCTGCTTTTCCAAACAGCCGCC